GCTCGTCAGCTGCTGGACTCAACCTCCTTCTACGTCGACGAGCTGCTCTATGTTTAGCTACAGGTATCATGTTCGTGGCTGTCACGACGCAAATGAGGTGGCGTGGGCCGCGGCGCCTAGACCACCACCAAGCGGCACGAGTCAAGCCGCAGACGATCGAGACGTACAGGCGAGAGGCACGCAGCTTCTCGGAGTGGGCCCTCGCCAACCACCTCAACCCCGTCGGCCCGGACCAGTGGGACGACGCGCTGGTGGAGTACAAGAATGCATGTGAGTCCTTGCTGACACCGTCCAAGTTTTGCAATCTATTGGCGGCGGTGGAACTGTTTTTCTCTCGAATGAAAGGCGAGCTGAAGTGGGCGCATGCGGTGCTACGAGGCTGGGAGAGGTCTCGAGTTATCAAGCACACTGTCCCGCTGGGTAAGGCGCCAGGGAAGCTCCTGTGCATCTACTTGGCGTCCGCAGGTCACGTGAGGCTCGGCCTAGGCCTTGTGCTGCAGTCCCATACTGGACTCAGACCGTCGGAGATGCTCGGCCTGCGCCCACAACATGTTTCCTTTCCTCACCATCGTGCTATCGACGGAAAGTGTGATCCAGTGGTCCTGGCCTTGGGGGTCCGTTTCGGTACGAAAGCGCAGCGGCCCCAAGTGGCCATGCTCCCAGGAGTTCATTCCGACATCGTCGAGGCCCTTTGGAGTTGTGTGCAGCAGACCCCTCACGATCAGCCTCTTTTCCCTTGCAGCATCACACAATACCGCACGTTGCTCAAGACAGCCGAAGCGGCGCTGGGGCTTACTGTGGGCTGGGGCCCACACAGCCCGCGCGCTGGCTGGGCTACCGACTCCCGCGCCGAGGGCGCCCCGTTCGCCGAGATCCGCGAGGGCGGCCGCTGGGTGAGCGACTCGAGCCTCAGGATCTACCTGGACGTCCAGTCAGCCAACGCGGTGCTGACAGACCTCCTCACCGCGGGGCACGAGAAGCAGTTGCGCTGGGCGGCTGGTGGCTGGAAACACTACGTACGACACGACCTCCTACGGCCTCCCTACCGCTGAGCATGGCGCCGCAAGTAGGCAGCACGTTTGCGGTTGGTGTGTATACGCCGCCGGCCTCAGCGAAGAGTTTGACGCCGCCGTCCGCGAAGAGCTCGCGTGCGGCTTCACCTGCTCAAGGCGGCCCAAAGTCGCCAGGAGCTAAGTCAGCTTCACCTGCTTCTACGTTGCCAGCAGGTTTGTCACCGCCGTCTTCGTGGTCGCTGGTGGGCACGCCGTTTGGGCAGGTGGCAGTTCCCTCGCCTTGGAGCACGCCGCCCAGCGGGGTCCTTAACCCGTTCGCGGCCAGCTCCGAAGCCGAGGGGCCGCCTGTGGCCGCGCTGCCGCTGCCGCAACCGAGGCGGCCGCGCCCCTCGCCGTGGCGGAAGGGCCTGGCAGGCCTATTCAGCGTGGGCCGCGCCTGGTGGCTGTCGCCGGGCGCCTTGCTGTTGCTGGCGCTGTGGATCAGCCCGCCGAGCTTCTCGCCCACGCTGGCCAAGGGGGTGGGCGCCGTCATCAGCCTCTCCGAGGACATTGCCGACGCAGGAGGTGTCCTGACGAAGGCGGCGTCCAACGTCACGGTGCTGGTGACCGACATGGCCGTGAAGTTTGGCCGCGGTGGCTTGTCAGCTTTGGAGGAGACCTGGGAAGGCGTCGACCTCCTCAACGCCTCCGTGAATGCGACGGGAGGGCGCTACATCATGCTGCTGGGCGCCCGCAACTCAGATCAGATTGCTGCGCTTTCGGACGCACTTCATCAGTTACCTGAGGATCGGGCCGCTGAGATCTGGAAGGCACTGGATCGGGTCGGCCCGACGCTTCCTTCGCTTGCGAAGTCTGAGCAGAAGTTTGTGGCGATTCACAAGTTTGAAGTCTTTGAGTACGAGGTGACGCTTCTCTCTACGTATTTTGTGGGAGTCAGATTCACTTGGTCGGCTCTCGTTTTCAAGCCAGTGTGGGCAAACCCAATATGGGAGTGGTTCGGAGCCGATGTGAGCGCGCAGCTGGAACGTATTTCCGACAGAGTTCGATCGTGCACGGAAGCGGCGATCGACCTAGACTGGCTGCGCGTGCCCCTCCACAAGTCCGACATTCCTGCCGGCTCTTTCCCGCCCTTCTGGTTTCGTTATTGGATGCAAGTGAAGTCTGCCTTTCAGTACGCACGTCTAGCTGGCGGGAATGGGCTGTGATGGTGAACTTCTTGATATGCAGAGAGTACACGAGTGGGGTATGGGATTCAGTGGAGTGTCATGTGTATACCATCACAGCCCGAGGGGATCTCTGCAGGGACCAGAGTACATTACGCGTTGCATACTTTTCAGTTCTGTGTGCGGTGGCGGCCTCTCGCTCGCAGGCCAGTTACTGCAATCAAGATTGGATTCGTGTGGTCACGCATCCTGCTGCTGGAAAGATGTTTTCTCTCGTTTGTTGCCATGTTCACCCTCTGTCCGACGGCGACGTTATTCTGAGGGCTTCGCCCAACTGCACGTCCTGCCGTCGTGGGTGGGCGGGTGAGGACAGAAACCGGATCAGCTAAACACGGGGATCCACATTATTGGAGAATGAGGTCTCTGAGTGTTACTTAATGTGAAGTGAGTGCGATCTCCCCCTTCGTAGTTTTTTTCTGGGCCCCCCCCGTCTGCACTAATGATTTCGTCCAGTGGTAGGATAGTGGAGTGTCCGTTTCGTGCATTCTTCCCTGCCCTGGGTGATGATAAGCCACTCGGGGATCTCTGCAGGGACCAGAGTACATTACGCGTTGCATACTTTTCAGTTCTGTGTGCGGTGGCGGCCTCTCGCTCGCAGGCCAGTTACTGCAATCAAGATTGGATTCGTGTGGTCACGCATCCTGCTGCTGGAAAGATGTTTTCTCTCGTTTGTTGCCATGTTCACCCTCTGTCCGACGGCGACGTTATTCTGAGGGCTTCGCCCAACTGCACGTCCTGCCGTCGTGGGTGGGCGGGTGAGGACAGATGCCGGATCAGCTAAACACGGGGATCCACATTATGATGATGATGATGATGACGATGATGATGATGATGATGATGCTGATGATGCTCATGATGCTGATGATGCTGATGATGCTGATGATGCTGATGATGCTGATGATGCTGATGATGCTGATGATGACCATGACGATGACGATGACGATGTCGATGGCGATGATGATGATGATGCTGCTGATGATGATGATGATGATGATGAGAACGTGGAAGACTTTATTTACATTGGAAGCAGCCACGACTCTGTTTTCCCCTTCGTTGCCACTGATCTGGATGTGCACGCTTGGGCCGCGGTCGTGTCGAGAGAGTAAGAGGGCGAGAGAGGATGAATTCTTCACGCTTCGCGTATCCCCACCAGCCCATCTCAAAACAGCAACTCTTGCGAAGCATGCCGACAGTCGTGTTTTTCAGGCGTGTTTCCGCCTGCCCCCGCATATCTCCCCTGTTCCTCCTTCCTCCCGCCTCCTTGTACATCCTCCTTGTGGTGGGAGCGGGAGAAGGACGAGGCGGAGGAGGAGGGAGAGAAAGCGCTCCTCGTGGTTTGAGTCGTTTGGGGTTTCTCGTCCTGGTGTGAGTCGTTCGGGCCCTTCTTCCTGGTGTGAGTCGTTCGGGCTCTTCGTGGTGTGAGTCGTTCGGGCTCTTCGTCCTGGTGTGAGTCGTTCGGGCTTCTCGTGGTGTGAGTTGTTCGGGCCCCTCGTCCTGGTGTGAGTCGTTCGGGCCCCTCCTCCTGGTGTGACTCGTTCGGGCTCCTCGTGGTGTGAGTCGTTCGGGGCGTCTTGGGGGCCTCTTGGCGGCCCCAGGGGCTTCTAGGAGCGTCTTGGGTGCCTTGGGGGAGCCTCTTCGGGCCTCTTGGGAGCCTCTTGGAGGCCGTTTGGAGCGTCTTGGGGGCCTCTTGGCGGCCCCAGGGGCTTCCAGGAACATCTTGGGTGCCTCGGGGGAGCCTCTTGGGGCCTCTTGGGGGCCTCATGGGGCATCTTGGGGGCCTCTTGGAGGCCTCTTGGGGCCTCTTGGGGCTCTTTGGGAGGCGTCTTGGGGGCCTGTTGGGGCCATCTTTGGGGCGATCGATCACAGCTGGGGCGAGCATTTTTGTCAGTCCTCCCGTCGGGGCCAGAATCCTCGTGAGGGGTGTCGTTTTTTAGCCCTCCCAGGAGTCGAAAAAGACCCCTCCAACCACCTGCGAAAGGACCTCTCCAGGCCCAGGGGGAGGGGGTAGGGGGAGGGGTAAATTCCTCTTCGAAGGGGAAGAAGGTTGGTTGAGAACAGAGATAGCTTGCTAAACCACTCACGCCCAAAGGGCTGGTGGGACTTTAGGGAGCAAGGGCGCGAACGCGCGCTCATCAGCAACATTGGGGCTTCTTGGGAGGCTCTTTGACCGTCCTACGGCGTTCCTGGCCCGTCTGACGCCGTCGGAAGCCATCTTTGGAGCCTCTCTTGACCGTCAGGCCCTCGAAGGGCGCGTAAGAACCGTTTTGGCGGCCATTTTGGGCGTCTTGCAGGCCTCTTGGGCCGCTTCGGGCCGTGTTGGGGGCCTCTTTGGCCGTCCTGGGGCCATCTTGGAGGTCTCTTGGGCGCTCTGGGCGCCGTCTTGGAGACCTGTTGGGCCGTCTTGGGCCGTCGGAGGGCCGAGGAGAAACCAACCAGAAACCCTCCAACCACATCAGGGCAATCACGGATTTATTCTTGCCTTTTCGGGCCTTCCTGGCGGCCCTTGTTGATGCCTCTTAGGCCGTCTTGGAGGGCTCTCGGGGGCCTCTCGGGTCGTCTTGACCGGCTTTTCACTCTGAGTAGTTTTTTGCGGTCCTGGTGCCCAGCAAGAGCCCCCTGAGGTGGAGATTGCCCAAAACCTTCCGTCGTGTTTTTTGTCGCAACGCGAGGCGCGAAGGGGTCGGGGTCAGTGCCATTAGGACGCCTGCCTGCACCCCATGCCGCCGCTGCTGCACCTCCTCCTCCCCACCCCCCCTGGGAGCAGGACTGGCGCGGCGAGGCCGTGCTCGTGTTCCCGAGCGACCAGGCCTGCGACAGGGCGTACGAGCTGGCACCAGCCCTGACGGAGGCGAGGCCCCCCGTCCTCCTCCTGTGCCCCTTCTCCGCAGGAACAACCCCGACCTCCAACGTAAAGACTCACAACAACCAGGACGCTGTTTTTCCTCGTCTTCGGCCTCCGGGGGCCCTCGCTGGGCCCCGGGGCCGTCAGCACAGAGGCCCGGGGGAAGAGCCAGCCCCGGGCAAAGCCCGAGAAGGCCTCCTGGGGGCCCGCGCCGTGAAGAAGCCACGGCGTCGGGGGCCGGGGGGACGCGTCCTGAGAGAGAGAGAGGGAGAGGGAGAGAGGGAGAGCGGCCCCGAGTCTCGCTTCGCCGCCCTCGAGCTCCCAAGGGGGGGCCGTCGGAGACCGACAGTGGGGGGGGAGGAACCCTGACCTTCCAGAGAGCTATTTTTTAGCACTGGAAACCTAAAAACCTAAAAAACGAGACGAAACAGCCTAAAACCAAGACGTAAAATAGCTCTGGGATAGGTTTTTACGTCGGGTGCTATTTTTTAGCCCTCCTGGAAGGTCAGGGAAGGCTGGCCCCGGGGAAGTCCCCAGGGGTCCAGGGGGCCCGCTCTCCGCCAGGACCCCCGCCGGCCGTGCCAGAGCTCTGTGCCCCTTCTCTTCGGGGATCCCGCCCGCCCGCTCCGGCACCATGGAAGCCTGCTCCCCGCAACTTCTCCCGCCGCAGCTGCCGCGCCCACTTCCCTCGGCTCGTCTCCTCCCCTCCCGGCCCCCTCCCCTCGGCTCGTCTCCCCTCCCTCCTGTTGGCCATTCCCCGACTCGCTCCCTCCCCTGCTCCTCTTTCCTTCTCTCTCTGCTCTCCGCTCCCGTGTTTCGGCGCAGGCCGTATGGCCACCGACCGCCGCGGGACTACTTCTTCCACTCCCCCTCGCCCTCCTCTCTCCCTCTCCCCCCTCCGGGTCTCTCCCTCTCTCTCTCTCTCCTTTTTCTCTCCCCGTCTCTCCCTGTCTCCCCCTCTCTCCCTCACTCTCCCTGTCTCTCTCTTGTTCTTTATTTCTCGTCACTCTCAAACCTCCCTCCCTCCTTCCACGCCCTTCTCCTCCTGTTCCTCCTCCCTCCTCTTCCCGTCTCCCTCCTCGCTCCTCCCTCCCTCGCTCCTCCCTTCGGCCTCCCCGGCGACGAGGGGGCCCGCTCCTCCGAGGAGGGGCCTGCGGGGCTGGGGCCGGGATGCGTCGTTCCAGAGTGTCCCGGAGCGCTCTAGGGAGGCCGCTGCGTCCGATGCGCCCTCCCGAACCGCCGGGGGTCAGTGGTTCCCGATTTGTCCTGGTCCGATCTTGTTCCCAAACATCATAAGGAAGCGCAGTGCCGGTTTCAAGCTTGACTCCAAGAGTTTCGGAGGATCCGTGCAGTAGCTCTGCACGGCTGCGAGCGTCGCATGACTTGTTGTGTTGCATCGCGTCGCCAGGAGAAGTATCTAAGCAGAGGGGGGCTCCGTCGTGCCTTCCCCTCCTCCTGCTCCCGCAGGAGACCGAGCCCTGCGGTGGCCCGCCCGCGAGCAAGCGCGCGAGCGCGCGCGCGCGCGCTCTTTGCGCGAGTCGCAGGTGCACGTGCAGTGGCAGGACGTGCCGGGGGCGCCTCCGCTGGGCGCCCTCCTGACCGAGCAGGAGCCGTGCTGGCCGTGGGAGGGAGGGAGGGAGGTTGCTCTGCTGTCCTCTGGCGCGTCACGGTCGTCACCGGGCCCCGCCCCCCCACCCACCTCTGGTCACGGTAGCGGTGCACGTTGGGGGGCTGGGACTGGACCCACCTCACATCCTCTGGTGCTCGCGCGCACACTGTGGCGATCTCAGCGCACCCCTGCCCTGACGTGCCCCACCCCGCCCGAGCGTTCCCATTACTCGAGGCCCCAATCCCCCTCTCCCCCGCTGGCAAAGACCGCAAGCCGGAAATAAAGCAACCATATCGAGGGGGCGCTCTTTGTGTTTGCTGCAATGCACTTTCAGGTTCAGGTTTGCGCATGCGGTTTTATTTGTGCGCCACGCGGTGGTATTCATATGGTATCGAAGACGCCTACGGCGAATCACCGCCGCCCCCTGCCTTTTTGGAGACGCCGATGTGGCCGAAAGTTGGACTAGAGCTTGGCCAAGCTATCGGACCATGAGTTCCCCGAGTCGGTTTGGAAAGCTTTCGGGGAACACATGGGAGAGAATGATTATGAACAGGAAGAGGAAGAGGAAGAAATAGAGTAGGAGGATGAGGGTTGTTAGGAGTCTCTTGGGGCACCCTTGGGGTCTGTTGGGGCTTCTTGGGGGCCTCTTCGAGGCCTCTTGGAGGCATCTTGGGGGCCTCCTTGGGCCTCTTGGGGGCCTTTGGGGGCTTCCTGGGGGTCTCTTTGGCCGTCTTAGGGCGTTCCTGGTCCGTCTGACGCCGTCTGGAGCCGTCTTGGGGGCCTCTCTGGGCCGTCTTGGGGCCCTCTTGGGGCGCTTCAGGGCCGTCTTGGAGGCCATGTTGGGCGTCTTGGAGGCCTCTTGGGCCGTCTTGGGGCGCTCTTGGGGCCGTCTTGGGGGGCCCTTGGGCCGTCATAGGGCCTTCTTGGAGGCCTCTTGGGCGATCTTGGGGGCCTCTTGGGCCGTCGGAAGGCCGAAAAGATGAAAACGCAAAAAACCTTCAAAAACCTAGGAAAACCAATGATTTTGGCCTCTTCGGGCTCTCCTGGAGAACGTCTTGGAGGCCTCGTGGGCCATCTTGGAGGCATCTTGGGGCCATCTTGGCCGTCTTGGAGGGCATCTTGGGCCGTCTTGGAGGCATCTTGGAGCCATCTTACCCGTCTTGGAGGCCATCGTGGCCGTCTTGGAAGCATCTTGGAGGCCATCTTGGGCCATCTTGGCCGTCTTGGAGGCCATCTTGGGCCAAGTTGGGGCAACAAAGGCATTGACAGACGGATTTTCGGAAATTTACGGGTGGCCGGCGGGACGGGCCGAAGCCCACTGGGGAGTTCTTTTAGAAAAAGAACCACAACCAAAACTGAATCATCCAGCACGCCGTGCACCCCTGCAAGCAGGGGGCGGCGGATCGAAGACGCCTACGGCGAATCACCGCCGCCCCCTGCCTTTTTGGAAGCGCCTATGTGGCCGAACGTTGAGGCCAGACCTGCCAAGCTATCGGACCACGTGTTCCCCGAATCGGTTTGGAAAGCCTTCGGGGAACACGTGGGCATCTTGAAGGTCATCTTGGCCGTCTTGGAGGCCTCTTGGGCAAGCTTTGGGCGATCTTTGGGGCTTTTTGGGCCGTCTCGGGCCAGCTTCGAGCCAACTTCGGCCATCTTGGTGGGTTCCTGGCACGTCTGAAGCCGTCGGAAGCCGTTTGGGGGGCCTCTATGGGCCGACTTGGGGCCCGCTTGGAATGCTCCAGGGCCGTCTTGGAGGCCATCTTGGGCGTCTTGGAGGCCATCTTGGGCGTGTTGGAGGCCTCTTGGGCCCTCTTGGGGCCCTCTAGGGGCCATCTTGGAGGCCACTTGGGCCATCATGGGGCTCTCTTGGGGGCCTCTTGGGCGATCTTGGGGGCTTCTTGGGCCGTCTTGAGCCGTCGGAGAGCCGAAAAGGCGCAAATGCCAAAATCCTTCAAAAACCAAGGGAAAATCAATGATTTTGGCCTCTTCGGACTCTCCTGGAGGACCTCTTGGAGGCCTCTTGGGCCGTCTGGGAGGCCTCTGGGGGGCCTCTTGGGCCGTCTTGGGCCGTCTTGGACTCTCTTGGGCCGTTTTGGAGGCCGTCTTGGACCATCTCGGGCGGACTTGGAGGCCATCTTGGGCCATCTTCGCGATTTTTTGAGGATGTCCCGAGCGAAACGGCCGTTTTTGGGTATTGACAGATGGGTTTTGTGAGATTTACGGGTGGCCGGCGGGACGGGCCGAAGCCCACTGGGGAGTTCTTTTAGAAAAAGAACCAAAACCAAAACCTGAATCGTCCAGCACGCCGTGCACCCCTGCAAGCAGGGGGCGGCGGATCGAAGACGCCTACGGCGAATCACCGCCGCCCCCTGCCTTTGTGGAAGCGCCTATGTGGCCGAACGTTGAGGCCAGACCTGCCAAGCCATCGGACCATGTGTTCCCCGAATCGGTTTGGAAAGCCTTCGGGGAACACGTGGGCGTCTTGATGGTCATCGTCGCCGTCTTGGAGGCCTCTTGGGCGATCTTTCGGCGATCTTTGGGGGCTCTTGGGCCGTCTCGGGCCGTCGGAAGGCCGAAAGAAGGGAAATGCCCAAATCCATCAAAAACCTTGGGAAAATCAGTGATTTTGGCATCTTTTGGCCTTCCTGGAGGCCCTCTTGGGGGCCTCTTGGGCCCTTTTGGGCCAGCTTCGAGCCAACTTCGGCCATCTTGGTGGGTTCCTGGCACGTCTGACGCCGTCGGGAGCCGTTTTGGGGGCCTTTCTGGGCCAACGGGGGACCCTCTTGGGGCGCTCCAGGGCCGTCTTGGAGGCCATCTTGGGCGTCTTGGAGGCCATCTTGGGCGTGTTGGAGGCCTCTTGGGCCGTCTTGGGGCCCTCTAGGGGCCATCTTGGAGGCCACTTGGGCCATCAGGGGGCTCTCTTGGGGGCCTCTTGGGCGATCTTGGGGGCTTCTTGGGCCGTCTTGAGCCGTCGGAGAGCCGAAAAGGCGCAAATGCCAAAATCCTTCAAAAACCAAGGGAAAATCAATGATTTTGGCCTCTTCGGACTCTCCTGGAGGACCTCTTGGAGGCCTCTTGGGCCGTCTGGGAGGCCTCTGGGGGGCCTCTTGGGCCGTCTTGGGCCGTCTTGGACTCTCTTGGGCCGTTTTGGAGGCCGTCTTGGACCATCTCGGGCGGACTTGGAGGCCATCTTGGGCCATCTTCGCGATTTTTTGAGGATGTCCCGAGCGAAACGGCCGTTTTTGGGCACGGTGGCGGGACGGGCCAGAGCCCACTGGAGAGTTCTTTTGGAAAAAGAACCAAAACCAAAACCTAACAGCTCATCCAGCACGCCGTGCACCCCTGCAAGCAGGGGGCGGCGGATCTAGTGGCCTTCGGCCCATCCCGCCACCCTGCCTGGGTTGCGGGTTAGAGGCCTCTTGGATGCTCGATTGGATATCGTGGGAGGCCTCTCGAGGGCCTCGTGGAGGCAGTTTTGAGGCCTCTTTGGGGGCCGTTTGGGGGCCTCTTGGGGCCTCTTTTTGATGTTCTTGGGGGCCTCGTGGGGCCTCCAGGCGGGACTCCTGGATCCCTCTTGGGGGCCTCTTGGGGTCTCCTGGGGGCCTCTTGGGGCGGAAGGCTCGACTTGTCGGTTCGTGTTCCCCCTCTTGGGCTCCTCTTGGGGCCGTCTTGGGGCCCTCTTGCAATCTTGGGCGCCTCTTGGGCCGTTTTGGGGCCCTCTTGGACCGTCTTGGGGCCCTCTTTTGGGAGCCTCTTGGGCCGTCTCGGGGCGGTCTTGGGGGCCTCTGGGGCCATCTTGGCGCCTCGGAAGCCCGAAATCGCGAGAACGCGAAAAGCATAGAAAGAACACGAGGAGCACTATGTATTGATTTTTGGCTCTTTGGGCCCTCTTGGGGGTCCTCTTGGAGCGCTCTTGGGGCTTCCTTGGGGCCTCTTGGGCCGGCTTGGGGCCATCCTCAGCGTCTTGGAGCGCTCTTGGGCTGTCTTGGAGGCCTCTTGGACTCTCTTGGGCGTTTTCTGGGGCCCTCTTTGCCCGTCTTGGGGCCCTGTGGCTTCTGGAGAAGTGATGCAGGGCAGCCTAAGAGCGCGCGGGAACGTCCAGGAAATTTGGGATTTTGGGGCCCCAGCCCCTGCAATACGGTGGGGGCGTTCGTTAAGGAATGTGCCTAGGAGGTTCCAGACCCTGGAGGATTCCTTACCTGGTAAGGGCGGCGGTGATTTCCATGGTCAAGCCCCAGTTGGTGTTCACCAGCTTCCAGACCCTGGATTCCGTACCGAAGGGTTCCTGATCCAATGCCCGCACCGTACTATAAACCCAGCGTCAAGAGTATAGAGAACCGAGTACATATGAGGACCTGGAGAAAACTCCACTTTGACTCTAAAGTGAGCTGGGCGATGCAGCTGAGTGGGAACGAGCGTGCGCCCGCGGCCGCTTGGCTCAAAGCGGCCGGCCGCCTAGATCTGACTACACTTCAGCGTGAGGTGTACCATTTGCCATCGAGACCAAAACTTCCTTTGTTTGAGATGGCTCGTCGCTCCCGCGAGGATCTCCTACTGCTGGGACTATCGTTACTACGGTACAACAGAGCTGGAGCTGGGCTTCGCCTAAGGCGAAGCTGCTGGTTGGGCCTCCCCACCCCTTTCAAACTTGGTAGCGGAGCTGGCCTATGGTGGTCAGCTCTTGCTCTACTCCTCACCATCCACGGCACTATCTGGTGGACGACTGACGCGGTGGAACATCAGGGTGCAGTGGGTTTGCGCGGAGGAATGTATATAACTACGCAACATGGCAAGGACACTTGCAGTGATACCTCTGCCTGCGCAGGAGGCCTCGTGCTCGCGTCCCACATCCCTGCGCTGCTACACTCCTGAAGTCCACCCGCCTACTCCAATTTGAAACTTCTTCGAAGACATAATGCATGGAAACGTGCGATGCGACATTGTGCCGCCTCCGCCCCCACGCAGGCTTACGACCACACACCGCAAACCCCAACCAAC